TCGTATTGTATTTTATCAATATGCACCTATACTGACTAACGGCCACCCACGGTAACATCGACAAGCATCTCGAAATCATAGGTCTTTATGGAATAGAAATCCAAGGGCCACAGACATGGCGGAGACGGGTTGTATCACTAGTGACGTATATTATACCTAGGTATAATAAGTTGGTTCTCACTTCTCATACGACAATTATAGGTCGATATTATTAAAAGTAAAATTACATAATACAAAAAAAAATATATTAGGCAGTAGATATTATATTATATTATGAAGGGTTACCGGGAAAAACGATTATAGTCAATATTCCTAAAATGTTCAGTATTGCAGTTTTAAAGTGGGACTCTGGCCTTTTTTTTTCTGTTATGGTAATATTTAAACCTGTATTATATCATTGACCATGATCTTTTTTCCATAACTCGATTTGTTATGAAACTAATCAAAAGGAACTATAATAATTTGATTTTTTCTTTCTTTTTACTATGATCGTTTTTCCCCTTAACCCTCCATATCTTATTGATTATTAAAGTGAATCGTTTTAGTTAAAAAAAGATCTAATACGATCATCTGGTTGGCTTTCGTTCATACAATAAACAGATTTTAAGCTGTTTAAGATTTTTTCAATTACTTAATAATACAATATATTTTTTTCCAAATTAATTTAATTTTCTGGCTTTTAATGCTCATACGCTAAACGTTTCTAGTTTTAATATAAACTCTTCCTTTCCGGTTTCAAAAATAAAAAATCGTTTGAAATAGTGGCCCAATCACACTGTTAGAAATGTAAAATTTTAGTGGCCCAATTATTACCGTATACCTTCTTGAAAAAAGGTTCATTGTATGGCCCAATTGTCGGATGCCCAATCACAAAAATCCAAAAATATTCAACCAAATATCTGGCATCTGCCCATGCAAGTCTGAAGTAGGTGTATGGCTATTTGTATATTTTGCTCTTGATGATAAATGTAAGTTACGATAGAAGAAAACTCAAGCCACCGATATCGTCAAAAAATATAAATAAGCAGTTTATTTTATAGGCACCTATTTAAATTATGGAAATTCGACAGAAATGACGAAATAAAATCATAAAACTTTTCAAACCAAACCACCGAATGTAACCGATGTTGTGTAATGCACATATAATATATGAATGGTATTGTGCTGCTTAAATAAATATTACACGATTAATACAACTTACATATTGTTCTCTATAGTCTATGCCTATACTCTATACTGCAGTAATCTTCTTCTGTATAGTTAACCACGAATCTCTATGGGATGGCCACCTCTAAGGACCTCATCACTTATGTACCTACGATACGAAACAAAAGCATCATACAAAATACTAAATACTTATTTTCAATACCTATTTACAAAAACATGGGTACCTATATAATTATTTCACTGTATATATAGATGTTTTAAATTAATAATGCAACGAATTTAACACCGAAAATTGATAGCATACTGAAAATAATTTAAATTAGGTACTTTGACGGTGTGCAAAAACTATTATTAATGTTTCTTAAGAACTTTGCAGGCTGCAATCCATTATCTTGGTTAATCCCACGCACCTCGTATACCACAATATAATATATTATATTATATATAGAAATATGCTCAGCACCCTATTTTTAACACTGAAAATATTGGAGGTTATAATATTGTTATGAAATATCTATTAAAACAAAAAATAAACAATATATTTTTAATATTTTTGTTTGTGTGTTATAAATTTGTTGGAATTATAATTGTTAAGCTGTACCTATCTATATTTCGTCTCGTTTAATTGGTATTTTGATTCTTTTAATATAGGTACCTACTTATAAAACGGTATAACGTACGGTTATGGTATATATTTAATAACGACATGTTACACGTCATTATATTACAAGAAAATCACTTTACAATGGCAGACAACTCGATGCGTGTTATTCAAACAAAAAAAATCATATTCATAAACTGAGAAAATTCAATAATTTTGCCTATAGACTAGTGTAATATTGAGAGTATAGAAAGATTGTAGTATTACATTATAGGCTATTATCAGACACATAAATATATATATATATTATGTTATAACACTTATGCTGCATACTTACATGCAACCTGCAGTTTCGGATTAACCAGAACTATAGGTATGGTAGGCACAACCGCACAAGCCTATTGTAGACGTTGAAAAATTAATATAATAATATTTACTAGGTACATTAAAATTGAACTATAATAAATAAGAATTTTTTCTCATTTTCATCATAAACATTTGTTTTAATACAATAATACGTTTAAATATATTACATTATACGTAGTACATTTTAAATCGTACCTATTTGTTTAAATAAACAAAGTCCATGTTTATAATATTCTCATTATCTCGTCACACTTGCATGTCAGTACTAGTCATCTCGAGACCATATTAAAATGCCAATATATATATATATATTAATATAAAGTTTTCCTGGCATGATGGTTATCTAAACTTAAGGTTATTAAGACACAATTTTGCTGTGATTATACAATAAACATACCACAATAACTGTGGTATAACAATAGACAGCAATTAACTATATATAATATATAATATTATAGAGACACTATAATAATGTATTATACTGCAGTTATACACACGCACACATATCCATGTGATATAATAGTATTACAATATTTAATATTATTTATAATGGTTTAATAATAAATAAAACTATATCTGATTTTTATAATTTTAAATCAAATAAAACCATAATATAACAATTCCTAGGTTTATTAGATATTTAAATTTACTAATATTATTAAAGTAATTCATTGAGGCATTAAAATTTATGCTTAGAAAGGTTATGTTTGTTCAGATAAAACTTTAATTTAATGCCTAAACGAGTTTTATTCAAATAGGATAACATTTCTGATATTGAATTAAAAGATTTTTTTCTGGATGGACTGACACATTCTGATAGGTAAGTATGATATTTAGGTCTGAGTGTTAAATTCAACATAAACAAATTAAGCCCATGCAGGTATAGATTTCCATAGTATTATACATAATATTACATTGGTATAAACCTGTAACATTATTTCAAAATAATAAAAATATCGTAGGTATACTTAATTTTTTTTATTATCGTTGAATAATTATTGTATAATAACACGAGCGCCAATGTGTTAATCTATGTACTTGTTGAAATATTTTTGGTATTATTGTTATTAACTCTCGACGCCTTTCTTCCAACAATGTACATTGACATACGGGATTTAATGAACTTCGCTGTTTTCGTCATTAAATTATTAAACATTTATATTTTTCGGCGGTGGCTGTGGTGGCAGGTATAGTGGCGGCGCACTGAGGTGTCTTCCTTGTGTTATTGCCGAATTAAGTGGCGTTTTTAAAATGAAAATTGTGAACGAAAATTACTTGGACCAACGAAGTCGTCGTCTGCAACACGACAGACGCAATATTATGGCACAACTCCATCGCCCACCCTCGGGCTTTATATAATATGATGGAAACGTTTAATCTCTAAAAATAGGACTCGCGATATACGTGCTGTCACTCACACGGTCATCTTCAGGTTATTAAATAATGCATTAGGCTTGTAAAAAAATAACCATACAATATAATATAATATTATTTTGGTGCTGAATCATATATTTTGTGAGTCAAATTTTTTTCTTCCGTCGAAATTTTAGCAGAAATATAATTTACATGCCTATATAATATACAATATACGTCTTATAATAGAAAATTATATCTTTACAAAATACAAATACTACATAATACATGATAATAAACAGTTATTTATTTATTTTTATATTTATGGGTGAGTCATTTTTGCAGCCATAAAATGGACATAAGTTAAGGATATTATTTAATTTACAGAAATAAACATTAAGCTGGTTACACACCTAGCGTTTTCGACGCAGCGTTTCAGATGCGGCGTTCGAACGCCTAAAATTAAACATGCGTCTACATATGGCCATATTAACACTAGGGCAAAAACGCGCCCGGACGCATCGAAACGCGCTGGTTTAATTTTGAGCGTTTTGTAAGCGGCAATATCTAAAATTAAACATTGTATTTACCATGTTATCATTCGCACTAAGTGTTTTCGACGTCGCGTTTTGCAGCGTTTCAGTATATTTATTCCATTCGTCAGTGAATCATTGAGCATATTGAGCATATTTTTCAGTTTAAATTACATTTTTTTATCAGTAAAAGACCTAGGTACAATAGGTAAAATGTTTGATACAGAACTCTTTATAATAGAAGTGAATAAGGAAGAAAGTATTTGGAACATAAGTAAGTTTGTATTAAATATTAAAAAAATAATGAAAATATATAAAATGATTCTTCATTATTGTATGTTTAATATTAATTATTTCATAGAAACAAAAATGTATCATGACCGTGTAGAGAAACATGTCAGCTGGAGACGAGTTGCCATGTTCAATGATTTTGAAAATCTAACGGAAAAAAAAAGAAACAAAAAGTAAGACAATACAATACTACTTAATTTTTAAATTATTTAATTCCATTACAAATACCCAAACCTATATGGTGTGAAAATAAAAAATGGTTATTAAAAATTAATCTAACACCATTTAATAATAATAAATAATAAATCTCAAACCATTTTTGTTTAAAAATGTATTAGATTCCCTATATGTTGGTTGTAGGTTAATTTTAACATAATTATCATTATTAAGTGCTATAAATATATTAACAACATAAAAAGTCTATGTTATAATATTTATTTTTATCATGGTAAATAATTATGAATTTGAAATCTTACAAATAATTATTATAATGAAACTGAAACTGAGTAACGATATCCAAAATAACAAAAAAAAAAATGTATACTTATGCCTTGTAAATATGTTGTTTATATAATAATAAAAAAAATATACCTGGTATAAATTAAAATTTATTGGCAAAGGTAATAAAATATTATATTTTTTACCAAATAAAACACATTACCTATATAAATTTAATGAAATAGGACATATTATTCCACAACTTTATTTTGCCAACTTAATGAAAATTCTGGTTTATTTACATATTTTACAAAATATTCTCTAACATTTTTTGCTTCTGATAGAGCATTTCCGACTCCTTTTTTTTCTTTAACATCTTATAACATACAGTTTAACGTGTCTTCGATGTGAATTCCATCTCTACGACGCACAAAATTGTGTAAGACACAAGTCGCTTTGGTGATTGAAATAGCAAAATCCGGTTCAACTAAAATATTTGAATGAAATACTCTCCATTTATTTGATAAGATACCAAACGTACATTCAATATGTTGTCTCGCTCTAGACAAACGATAATTGAAAATACGTTGTTCATCATTTAAATTTCTCCCAGGAAACGGCCTCAATAAATGCTTGCTCAACGCAAAAGCTTCGTCTCCGACTAACACAAACGGCTGAGGAACACCTTGTTCGTCTCCGGGTAATGGCTTTTCACATGGAAAGTTGACACGGCCAGTGTAATATTATTAAACAATCATCTTTTGGTAAAAAACTATATTCTAGCCGTGTCAACTTTCCATAGTTTTCCATAGTTTTTTACCAAAAGATGATTGTTTAATAATATTACAATCACTTTCCTTGCCATATGACCCTATATCAATGACGCGAAAACAGTAATTAGAATCACAAATTCCCATAAGAATTATTGAGAAGAAATTCTTATAATTGTAGTAAAGCTTTCCAATTTTTTGAGGGCATTCAATTCTAATATGCTTGCCGTCTACAGCACCCACACAATTAGGAAATTGGCTTTTTTCAAAATATCCAGCTGCAATGTCTAGCCATTGTTCCGTAGTAGGAGGTATCATTTCAATCGGGTGTAATTGTCTCCAAATAATTTCGCAAGTCTCGCGAATAATTTTCGAAATGGACGAAACACCCATTAAAAATTCAAAATGTAGAGCTGAACAATTTGTCCCGGTTGCTAAGTACCTAAATAAAACATCAATGTGTACTATATTTTCAATCTTGTTGATTATTCGAATAAATATTTGAGTATTATTTGTATTTGAATACTATAGTTTAGACAACGTTATAAATGTTTATTCTGAATAAAATTTCAGATTTTGTATTCAAGTACTTTTAACATGAAATTATTTATCGTTATTTATATTTTATTTATTAATTATATAAAATCATTGTACAAAAAAAATTTAAATTTAAAATTTCAATCCTTTGCTATAAAAATTTAAAGTTGATAATTTAATTAAACTTTAACTACAATATTATTTTAGAATGAATTAATACAAGCGGCTCTTAACATATTGTTACAATAACAGTTGGAAAATCTTAAAAACACATAGTCACAATTTCATTTAAGCATTTAAAATTTGAATTTAAAAAAAAAAATGGGTAAGTGGGTGTAGGTCAGCTGTACAGTAGGTTACATGTGAGTCACTGTAATGGGTTGTGTTAAATTTAAATCCAATGGTATAATATCATTGTATAAGAAAAACGATTCTGAGCAAAGACGGTCAGTCAGTCTATAATATCTTACTAAGTGTTTTTGATGATGTTATTGTGAACAAAGTAATTTTATAATTTTAGTATGAGGCATTAAGTATTTACTACAGTTGATAAAAATTCATTTTTCCCAAAAAAATTACTTTTGAAAATGTCATTGCGTGTATAATATAAAATATAACAATATACTCTAAAAGTTTTATATATTAAATAATATTTTTAAAATACAACAAAATATATAAAATCGTTATTCTTGGTTTTAATATGTAATATTGTCCAAATTTGAATTTAAAATGTCTGTAAAAAATAAATGTGTTGATATATTTTTTAGATTTTTTGATTAAAGTATGAATTATTTAAGAGAAAATTTGTTTTAAATTTTCAACTCTTAGTTATAAAAATTGAACATTTTATATTTTTTAAATTCCAATGATTGATAATATTCGAGATTTTGACAAATTTTGTCAAAATTCGAACTTTAAATGCTTATAAAAAAAAATTGTGCCTATGTATTCTTAATACTTTTCAACTGATATTGTAACAGGAGCTATTGAAACTAGTGAATATAACTATTTTGTTATGTCGGGGATAACAAATGATGTAAATGTTAACTGCTATTGCATTATTGCAATGCTTTCGAAACTGATTCAGTGGTACCAGGGTCGCATGTACTAGATTCTCGTTCGCCGGTGACGGGGCGGCGATGGGCCGCAAAATATTTAACCAGTTCAACGGCTTCCACGACATAGGGTTCTGGTAATTAGTCCCAGACTTGTTACTGACGTTTTACTTATTTTACTTTTCGTTTATTGGCGTTGGAGACGACTATCGGACGTGACGATCGCATCCTGACACCACGATGGCACGAGTGATACATATTATTATATTCTTATCGTTCGTGGTTAGTCTCTTACTTTTGTAACGTCTCTGTGATGTTCATACTGCATAATCCGTTACAAAAATACTAAATAGCAAATACAATTTGAACCTCCATTGTATACGATAAAAAGCATGCATTGGTATTATTGAGATTATTAAGATTTGTAGGTAAAAAAACCCTTATAAAGAACATATTATTATTAAATTGTCAAGCCCTAGCTATAAAAATTGAAAATAAATTGATTTTAATTTTAAGAGATTTCGTAAACATTTGATCTTAAAACACTTGTATAATATAAAAATTAATGTATTTTCAATATTTTTCAAGTGTGGTAACTGGTAGGAACCACTTTTGTTTAGACAAAGAACCTTGTACAGAATATTTAAAGCTTACACGAACAAAAATGTTATCATAATATACCTACCTACATTAATTGAAAAAAAGTCATTCATTTCATCGATGAAAATATAAATGTCACAAATAGAATCAAAATATTTTTAGATTATGATTATTATTAGGTATAATATTTTATATACTGCGTATTTATTTGACAATGCAGGTTTTTTTTCTGTCCGTCGAATTTAGGAGCAGTAAAAGTACTTTGATTTTCCACTTTCAATATGGTTTATGATAGAAAATTGGATTGTATTTAAAGGCATTTTATGTTTTTCATTGTTTCATTTAAAACATTGGAAATGCAAGTTTTTGAGTTCAGTCAAAAAGTTCAAAAATATAATACAAGATCCAACATAAATTGTGATTTTAAAGTTAAAAATATCAAAAATATATATACATATTTATTTTTATAACTGTTGTGAAGTTCAAAATTTTGACAAAATTCAACAAAATCACGAAAATTTTAAAACTATCATTATGACACAATCAAAATATTTAGATTAATTTTAAGCTAACTATGAACTTTTTCTATTAGACATTAGTGTAATTGCGTACACATTATTATATTTTGTATTGATTTTTTTTTGTCGTACAGTCATAGGTACCTGTATTGAATTCAAGTATTTTTGATAGAATAAATAATTTTAGCCATAGGCCATGGGTACGAAAATGATATAACACACGGTACGGCTTTATTGTTACAATTATATTATAAGGAAATTGTGAGATCCATCCTCTGTCATCCTGTGGTAATCCTAAGGCAGTGGAGGGTGCCCCACCCCCCCCCCCCCCTTAAGAATGCCGGTAACTCTTATTTCCAATCAGCATTTTATCGAGACTTATAATACCTAAAATTACATTTTTTTTTACAATTGGTTTCATTGAAAATTCATGGTTGTTAATTACGATGGTGGTAATTGGACAATTGTAATGGCTATCAATAGCTGAATATGGTAAACATATCTATTATACGTTAGCTATTCCAAAAAATTAAATAATTTTAAAACGTTGCAAACCAGTTTTGAAAGTTTCTGACAAGTCAGGGCTCGGAAAAATACTTTGAAAAATCGTAGGGGTTGGAATTTTGACTTGAAAATTTCGGGAGTTGACTTGCAAATTCTTGCTAATTATAACAAGTGATTTGACACCAGTTTCGAAAGTTTCTGACAACAAGTCAGGACTGCGTGAAGTTGGCCCTTCCTTGGTTCCACCAATTATAACTCCTTTGTTTTTGACTTGCAAATTTCGGGACTGGACTGGCAAATTCTTGCTAATTACTTACAAAATAATGGCACTGTGCAAAACTTTTGTTGAAAAAGTGTAAGGGCCAAATTCACAGACGTTCAATTTTTTTATACCAACAACCAAAATTGTATTTAAAATTATAGACAAAAAAAACCAAAAAAAGTGGATGTCGCTCTGCTGTACAGTAGGTTACAAGTGGGTCACTGTATAATTGATGCTATTAAATTTGAATTCAATGATACAATATCATTGTATAAGAAAAACGATTCTGAGCGAAGACGGTATGTCAGTCTAGGTTAAGACAAATTATATACATATCTATGGTATTAAAAAAAAATTGACCTATAATAAATTCCAAATTAATCATATCACATTATCACAATATCCATTAGGTACTAATAACACGTTATACACCAACAACAAACCCTGATACTATCATATATATATAATGGTACACTTTAGAAGTTTCAAGTAGGTACCCACGAATAATATTATATAATCACAACAAAATAACTAGGTTTTTTAATATGTAATTTCGTCAAAATTTGAACATAAAATGACTATAAAAATAAACTGTGATTGTATATTTTTTAGATTTTTCGGTAAGAGAATTAACTACTTACGTGAAATCTTGTTTTAAATTTTCAATCCTTAGCTATAAAAACTGAACATTTTATAATTTATTAATTACGATGATTAATAATTTTCGAGATTTTGAAAAATTCTGTCAAAATTCGATGTTAAAATGCTTATAAAAAAAAATTGTGCCTATGTATTTTTAATATTTTTCAACTGATATTGTAACAATATATCAGGAGCCTTGTATTAAATTTTTACACTTTTTGGCCCAACAGATAAAACTTAATTAATATTTATAGAAAAAAAAAACTAAAAAAATTGAAAACTGAAAATGTCCGTAAACGGCTCAAAAAGAGTCAAAATATTTTCAAAATTGTATGGTGTATAGGAAATGCTAATATAAACATTCAGTGAAATTTTCATGTATCTACAGTAATTCGTTTTTTAATTACAACAAAAAAAGGAAATTGCCACATGAGAAATCGAGTGAATATCCAATGTTGTAAAAATTTGAATTTCAAACGCTCATAAAAATTTAATTTGACTTTCCGGTAGAGATTTTTTTATTGATAAAGGTAGACAATCTTATGAGTAATCTTGTATTAGATTTTCAAATCTTAGATTTAAAAAGAAAAATTTTTACGAATTCTTAACTCAAAATAATTTGCTAATTTTCGTGATTTTTCCATATTTTGTCAATTTTTGAACTTTAAATGCTTATAAAAAAAAATTGTGACTAAGGATTTTTAATATTTTCATCTGCCTTTGAAACAATATATTAGGAGCCTTCTATTAAATTTTCAAGCTTTCGCAACCAACAAATAAAATTTTATTGATATTTCTAGAAAAAAAACTAAAAAAAAACTAAAAATGAAAATGTCCCTAAACTGTTCAAAATAAATCAAAATATTTTGAAAATGTTATCGTGTATAGAAGATGCAAATATAAACAACCAGTGAAAATTGCATGTACCTACGGTCATTTGTTTTAAAGTTACACCAAAAACCAAATTCAATTTTCTGAAAAATCGATTTTGCGTAAAAATTCCCGTTTTTCCTTAATTTTTCTTTTGTTTTTCCCGGCGCTCTTGAAAACTACTGGGAAATTTAAATTTTGACCTCCCCAATGCACCAACGATATTCACTTTCCAATCGAACAAGATACTGAAGTCGAAAATCGAAGCATTATTTCGACTACTTATCGTGTACACAGACACAAAAAAAATAAATATAAAAATAAAAAATA